AAAGAACAATGTTTTTACAAGCTTTTGGGGTATATTTTATTTCATTATCAGATAAAAATTTGCAGTGGCCTCTTGGGCTATTATGATTTGATTCTGTATGCGCCAGGGATACAAATCCGAGTTGCGCAATGTATAAACTGGAACATTGAGATCAAAAGTGCCGACGCAGAGTGAGCGAACTGATTCTTTAGCTATAAACTATGACTATTTTTCGTAAAAATAATAAAAAAGTATTCCATAACATGATCAACCCGCTATAAAGATCAACATCCTCCAACTTTGCTTTTAGACTATAAAACTATTAACAAATGACATTCCAAATCCTTCTGTATATAGACAATGCTTTCTAACTTTGCTTTTGAATCTTCTATATTTTTCCATTATCCATGGTTAAAATGTTGATACTATATTATGTACCAGTTAAAAAATAGAAATAAAATAGTTACTTACTTATCTTGTTTACATTTAATCTACTTTTCAAATAGATTTTTTATGCACAATGTAAACATACAAATCCAATCACTAAGATGGTGAGAGCATAGGAACATTTTTTCATAATTAACAGGGTGTTACTATATTCAACCGACAACGCTCTACCCCAGAGAGCTCTCGTTAATTGATGAATTTTGACATGAACCTTTAAAGGGTTTACCCGAGATACAAGGTGTTAAAAGTTTGAAATCAAAATCAAAATAATTTCTTAAAATTTAGTGATCAATTTAAGGCTATTTTCGCTGTTTACTATTTTAGCATTATGAATATATCTAAGTTATTTATCATCAGCGCATTCAAAAGAAGCACCCTAATAATCTCTAGTCTTTTAATTTTTTTGTTACACCCTAGTTTTTTAAATAAAAATTAAAAATAATTAAATTTTATCAATTTGCAGATTTCAATTTTTGAAAAACTGGAGTTTGTAGCTGATTTTTTCGATTTCTTTTTCTATTCACAAGTTTTTGCTAAAATCAAAAACTAATTGAGTTTTGTCCCTAACCGTTTTCCAATAATATTTTTATTTCGAACTCGTGAAAATATTTCCCTCTTTATCACATACCTGGAACCAATGGTTGCCTGGATTAGCAATTATAAAGTGATTCGCCCAGGGTCTAACTCGCGCTTTTGATTGTAAAAATTTAGTATATTATATTTTTTATTATTTTTTACGTGTTGTTTAACTAATTATGAAAGAAAAGTCGTGCAGTTATTAGAAAAAGGTTAGACTATTTTTATTATATTTTATTGTAGAAAAATAAATATAATTTGATTGATATGCGACTATGATTTTTTTGTTATGATCTGTGGAAAGAACATCGCAGTAATATGCTCACTGATTCAAATTTTGGAACAGTTTGCAAATTACGCAAAACAACAGATGCAAAAAAGACTGTTAATAACCTATTATTTTCATCTTTTTACGGATTAGTCTCTACAAAATGAGGACAAGATCATGAATTTATTGCGATAGAAGAATTTAAAAATAAATATGGAAAAACGGTACAAGAATGTGGATTATTTATTTATGAAAAACATCTATATTCTTGTTCCAAATTGACACCAGAAATGGGAATTCAAGAAAAAAATAATTAAATATCTAGCCAATACAGATGGCCAAATTAAATTAAAAAAAATGATAATTATTATTATCAGGCACAAGGACAATTGGCTATAACTAAAGCCAAATATTGTTATTTATAGTTTAGACCCCACTAGGAATGTTAGTAGGAAAAAAAGTTTTCAAAAAATTTTTCGTCTTCACTATAAATTAATTGTGAGATTGATGCGATTTTGTTTAAAAAAACAAATATTTTATATTATGTACCACTGTATATTAAAGCACTTTCCAAAAATCTTACTTTAAGTATACCATAAATAAAGCCATCCAAAGCTTTCGCGCGGATACCAAGTGTATATTATCGAATATTAGTAATAATAAGAACAATAATGTTTATTTACAAAAAATACGATCAATAATTATATGTATAAAAATCCTTTACTATTTCACCTTAGAATATAAATAAAATCAATTTAAATGTAGTTAATCATTTATTTAAAAAATAGTTTCACTAGATGACCCTCAAAAAACGTTAATCAATAAATAAGAAAGAAAACTTTCGAATCCGTCGTAATAAATAAAAATATTATCTGCAAAGAAATTACTAGCAACACAATAGTTGTTACAATGTAGAGACAAATTTGGCCAGCCCGCGTTTCAGGTGGAGTAAAATACCGAGAAAGATAGGCGTCCCATTAGACTGAACGGAGAAAAAGATAAAATTATTACACGTACAATTGTCTTATTTTTTTTGTTAATTAAAATTGTTTTGATTAGGTAGAATTGTTAAGTATACCAAATCATTTTAATATTAATTTACCTACTGAATGTTAAACTGAATTGAATTTGTTTTTATGAATGTCTAAATAATAAAATTACAAATTCGTCTCTGGAATGACGACTTGAGACTCGACGCCCGTTTTAATGCTCTGCTTGAATCTAAATTACCTAATAGTAAGAAAGGTAAACAGTCGTAAAATTTTAAATTCTATAAGCACTAACAAATTGAAAAATTCAAAACAAAAGGAGCAGTAAAATAAATTATTATACATGTCACTTTTGTTGCGAATAATAAATTATTTTAAAGTAAGCATACTGCATTTTTCCTTTATCCATATATTATAAGTAAAAACCAATTGAAATACGAAAAATATTTTTTTTAATACCAGCTGTATAATGGCGTATTAAAATTACATGTAAAAAATTCCCGATACGGTTTTCTTCTGATTTAAAGCAATGTATCATGGCTTCCACACAAACATTACAAAACTACTCGATTCCCAGCTAACTATCAAAAAATTTCTGTTCTTCGGTCACAATGTAAAAGACTAAATCGTGAATGTTATGATCAACACATTTTTTTTAATGACAGCTGCTTGCTCACAAACGTTAACAAGTTCTGATCTTTTGTAAACCTAAAAGGAAAGCAAAATGGTATACCAATCTCAATTCAATTCAATAGTAAACATGTTTGCTGAGTATTTTGCATCAGTATATTCTGATAGCACTTTTGAAATTCTTAAGTATCTCTATGATACTAGTAATATCAAGTTCTTTAGTCACAGAATTTCACAGATATTTATTTGAAATTAAGCAACCTCAATATAAATAAGGGACCTGGTCAGGTGTTTCATTTCATCATTGATGTGTCTTGGTTCACATATACTTCACACTCTGTTTACTAAGATGTTGATAACTGTGCGCTTTTGTTTTGGATGATGGTTGGATCCATATTGTAGGTATCGATCAGTGTGTGCATTCTTTCTAGTTTATTATCTTATCGGCTGACTAACACATTAAGGAAAGGAATTTGTCGGTTTTCTTCTATTTTCATAGTGAACTGGACTTTAGGATGAAAACTGTTCAGATGGTTTGGGAAATTCTGGAGGTCTTTTCTCCTGTGGCTCCAGATTACAAATGTGTCATCTAGATACCTCAGCCAATGCTTTAGTTGTTTTTCAGCAGTGCGAATAGCTCTCTCCTCAAATTTTTCCATGTAAAAATTTGCCACAACTGAGCTGAGTGGACTGCCCATGGCGACTTCGTCAATTTGTTCATGGAATGTTTGATTCCACTGGAAATATGATGTTGTGAGCTGACTACTTCTTCGAGTGACACATTTGTGAATAAAGAGATGATGCCAAAGCTGACTAGGATGTCGTTAGGCTCTAAACTACGAGATATATCTTCCATAAGCCATATAAAGTTATAACAGAACAAATAGAAGAGCCGGAAGTGGCAGGGACGATTCATATCTACACCGATGGTTCTAAAACAAAGTAAGACTCAGGATGTGGAATATACTTGTTAAACCTAAATATAAAATGGGCTGTGAGCAATAGTGCCAGTGTTGTTCAAATAGGGCTAACGGGGATTCTCATAGCAGCAAAATAAATCACTAGAAACAACACTGGAAGGATCATGCTCATCTATACAGATAACAGACAAGCCCTACTCACCCTGGACAGACCACGAATTTATTCAGGGTTAGTACTAGAATATCACGAAGCTTTGGCCGAAGTATCCATCAACAATGTGGGTCACCTTAATATGGATCAAAGGTCACACCACATCGAAAGGTAACCGTCTTGCTGATTCACTATCGGTAGTGACAGACCTAATTAAAGAACATTCCCTTGTGAAATTCAAGGAAAGATGGGATGAAACAAGAAACTGCAGAGTTGCCAGGGAGCTCTTAAGTTACCCTGACAACACTGCAGCAAGCAAATACTTGACTATGACTAAACATAATCTGCACCTAATCACAGGCATACTGACTGGTCATTGCCAAGTACAGAAGCATCTCCATATTATGAGACTGTTAGAATCCGCACTCTGCAGAGGGTGCGAACAAGAAGCTGAGACCATCGAGCATATTTTTTACGATTGCTCGACGCTCCCATTTATTAGAAGCTTGTGTTCGGCGAGTATCGGCTAACACCGGCCGTAATAAGAAAAGCACCTCTTGGCGACGTTGTCAACTACATTAAATCTGTATGCTGGCTCACGAGCTAGGTGTCTATCATCTTAGGAGGATGCACAATGGGCCTAGTGAGGCATAAGTCTCGCTACAGATACAAATAGGCTCTAAACTGATAGTCTACGTGTTCGATGAAGTGCGTAGAGTTTCGCACGTAGGTTTTTGTATTTCCTACGTGTGTTTGCAGAATTTCCGCCATATGTTTGTCCAGGTTGTAAATTGGTGATCCTATGGTACTTAATATTGATCTTAGTGGTACATTATCTTTGTGAATTTTTGGTAATTCACATAGTATTGGTGGTAGAGTTCCAGTAGTGCAGATTATCTTCTTTGTCTTCGGTGGTAGTGATGACTCTTTTATTAATTTGGTGGTTTTTCTTAAAATTTTCTGTAATGGATCTTTCGTCAATTTCCTGTATTTGTCTTGATTAACCATATCATTCAGCTTACTCCTGTACTCCGATGTATTCATGACGACTGTTGCATTCTTCTTATAGCTGCCTTCTCGCCTCTTGAAATATTGCTTTTTGGTGGTTTGGCTTTCCGTAGAATTCTTGCAGATTCACTGCATACCACTTCTTTGACATCAGGTGGTAGTTTTTCAATTCCGTCTTCTATATTGGCAATGATTTCTTCTGTAGGTGTTGTCTGTAGGGTTATGCTGAAATTTCCTTCTTTAGCTAGTAAGTTCGTTTCGTTAACCGTGAGTGGCCGATTTGAGAGTTTGATTACAGTCTGTTTCAAATTTGTCATCGGAGTCTGTGGTGTTGATTCAATTCTACTGAGTGTTATTATGTCGATCTTTTCCCAATCTTCCCATTCTAGTATATAACTTAGCTTTAAATGTAGTTTAAACAGTTGTTTATCATTTCTTGATAAGTCGTTTCGTGTTTGATGGAGTCTCTTCCTTGGTAATGCTTTTTCCATCTGGTTAAAAAATCATTGGGCATGTGGTGTTTTGATGTTTATTTTAGAACGTGGAAATTTTGGTGTGGTTTTTGTGTCTCGGAAACGTAGAAAAAATGTTAAAGAACTTAAAATTTGGGCTTTCTTCTTGAGTGAGAATTCTAGTCTCCCAACTGACTGGTAAGTTTCATCCCTGTAGAATCGATTAATGTAAGAATGTAGGCTTGCACCCAACGTTTCAGCTGCAACGTTTCAGTAGATACGTCGAGAAGAGTACTTCGTCCACGCCACTGAAGATGGCTGCCGCAGTTGCAGCTGAAACGTTGGGTAGTAATTACCAAGAAGGACCACGGGATAACTGTTCGGAAACAAACAATTACATTGACGCCGGCCGTGAAAGCCTACATTCTCACCTTTCGTCAATGTTTATGCTATAAATGATATTCATCTGCAAAAATTTGAGGCTATAAAGGATCTAGGTGTGACCTTTGATAAATCACTTAACTTCATTCCCCACATTAACTTAGCGATAAGCAAACCTCTTAAAATGATCGGTTTCGTTAAACGTAATACACAAAACTTCTCAAATATATTTGCAATAAAACTTTTATATTTATAATTAATTAGATCTCATATTGAAAATGCTTCTTGTCTATGATCACCTTGCTATAATATACATATTAACAAATTGGAGCAACTTCATCACAAATTTCTGCGATATGTCTCATACAAGTTAAGCTACAACCTCATAGAATCCGTGTTGAGTGTATTATTACTTGACGTTCTCTGTCCACCTGGTAGGTGTACAAGCGCAACATTTAGTGACCCTGTCGAGATCTTTTTTGAAGCTGCAACTTTGAGATATTCAGAAGAATACTAAGATGGAGAGGCTTCTGAAGTTGAAAGAAATGTATAGCAACTCATTTAAGAGACATTTCGATGAAGTTCAGATGGAACTGAATAGAGATGAATCAGATATGTTCACGGTTTAAGGAACTATGAAGACTCTTGGAGGTACATTTGAATCCTTAAATGAAATAAATAAGAAAATCATCGATTTTGTTTTGGACGATGATACTCTTAATGCCGATGTTGATAGAATGAAGTCTGAAATCAATGATGTTATTAAGCATTTTCACACACTGCAAATGAAAGTCGATTTTCAACTTCATAAAGATACAGCAGTCTTTCTTCTAGTAGTAAAAGACGCCTCAAGCTACCAAAAATGAAATTTAAGAAATTTAGCGGAAACCTGAAAGAGTGGTTGTCTTTTTGGAGCCAGTTCCGAAGAATCCAATGAGGATAACCAAATAGAGAAGGAAGACAAATTTCAATACCTTATTCAGACCACCACTCCCAAATCTCGAGCCAGACAACTCATTGAAAGCTATCCTGCTACTTCTAAAAATTATTACAAGGTGATAGAGAGCTTGAAATCTAGATTTGGCAGAAAAGATTTACTGGTAGAAATGTATGTCAGAGAATTACTAAAATAAGTTTTAAGCAGTTTAAATAATAAAACTAAACTAAGTGTATGATAAGATGGAGGCTCAATTCCCAATAGAGTCAAGAAGAGCCACAAAAGATCTAGTGCTCATGTATGATATTATAAATTTTACAAAAAAAAATGATCTGACTTTCTACATAAGTTGCAATTCAATATTCCCTTCAAGTCAACCAGAGCAACGTACTTGTTCTACTTACCAACTTGTAATACCAACCACACAGAAAACTCATATTTGATCAGATCAATGAAATTGGCAAATTCGATGTCTTCAACAACAGATTTGTTTGTTAAAAAATCTCTTTTTGTGTCCTTAATTTGTAGGGAAATATAACTTATTAATTATAAATTTATTATGTACACTTATTAATTTTAAGTATATTTTATCCAAAGTGTAAAGATATTGGGCACTGCTCCTTAATAATGAACAATAAATAAATTATATCAATTTTATCGACGATCTTTTGCTATATAGCAAAGATTTCCAAACCAGATAATATTTCTTGTAACATGGTAGACCTCAAATAATTTTTATTTTTAATTTTGAGAAGTATATCTCACCAGCAGCTACAGATACAGGTAAAATAAGCAGGATTCTTAACGAAATATAAGATAAAGATGAAGTCAGGGCCGCGTTAAGGCAAATTGGCACCCCAAGCACATTTTTTTGACACCACCTGTCACTAATAAAAATTCAAGTAAACATTTGTATAACAACATATTTTTATTTAAAAACAAGTTTTTAATACTGATTAGTGGTAACAAAAACATAATAATTAAAAAAAAATATTCTATAAAAGGACTTCTTTGAATTTTCTTGTGCAAAATCAATAATAATTTTCTTCATATCTCATACTATATCAGCCTCCTTCTTTTCCTGATCAGTTAGGTTTTATTGTAGAGCACGACAGCTTTTTAAAAGATCCACGTCATTTAATTTAAAAATATCACTAAAAAAACAAAAACAGAAACAAAAACAAAATTTGGGTAATTGATTTTTTGTTAAATAAACTAAAATACCTTTGTCACCCAGTATATAATAAACGAAAGGTATCTGGGAACACAATAATGGCAGAAATAAAACTTTTTCAGATTCCTCTATCATCTGGTAAAGTTTGACTAATCACTCGCAAAACACCCTGTGTAATTTAATATTTAACAAAACTGTATCTTAGATTATCTTTCTTTTCAGTCATAACTACCAAGGTTATTATTATTATTAGTAGATAACTGGATTTTCCAATAGCATCATAGGTTTTCCATTTATTCATTTATCTTTTAAATACCTAATAATATTTTAAGTCAAACAAAAAGTTTTTCTACGCTCACATGTATATTATCTTTTTTATGAAAAACTATTATTATTACAATTATTTTTTTTTCAAAATTTTAAATTAATCAACTAATTTTCCGTTTATCTTTTTAAAAGTAAGGTAAAATTTAAAAATGGAAATTTTAAAAACTTCAAAAACGTGCAGATGCCGTCACCACATCTTAACCAACCACCCCTGAGGTGCCCCCTTACTAACAAAAAAAGAATCATATAAATTGGAAAAGGTGGTAAAGTATTATCGCTAAACATACATAAAAAATTAAGAGTTTGAAGATTTTCTCATGGACCCAATTATTAGATTTTGACCAAATGTATATGTTACCACCCCTGAGGTAGTCCCTTTCTAACAAAAAAAGAATTATTGAAATCGGACACCGTGTTAAAGAATTATCGCTGAACATACATGAAAAAAAATATCGCGACGAATTTATAACCTCCTCCTTTTTTGAAGTCGGTTAATAAACCCTAAAAAACAGTGTATGTAAAAATATTTATAAAACTTAAGGGCATTTGTATATACACACCTTTCGGTAAAACATTCTTTTCTTGTTGGCCAAAATCCCCATTAATATTCAAACGTGCAGTTAGTTGGTTAAAACAAATCGACTGGAACATACAAGGTTATTCCAAATTTTATCCAATGTTAAATGAAAATTAGGAAAAATTTCTTCCAAAAAATTTATATATTTAATTTCGACAGCACTTTGTATTCATTCATCAGCGTTTCAATCGCAGTATTGAATTAATTAAATAATTTGACTAATTATTTTGGTTACTGTTAATCTGTTTTTATAATAATAATATTTATAATATAATAGTGTATGAAATTTATAAAATTGGTAACCAACAAAAATTTCAAAAAAATTGTTTTTAAAATAATAATTTTAGTAGTACCTATAACTAATAATAATTATAAATGAATGTAATGATTATTACTAAAAATTAAAAACTGAGTAGGTGAATTTTTATATAGTTTATAGTTCCAATAGAATAACCTAAAATAAATTATTAGTAATGTTAGAATTTGTTTTTAATAATACATAATAATTTATTCCCAAAGTCTACAACATATTTTTTTTTACTTTTTTCTCATTTTCCTTAGAGGAAAAGGTGACTTCTGATACTCGAACGTGTTCTATGAAAAATGAAATTACTGCTGATATTTCTTCTATAACCTTGGAAGAAAAAGTGTTTTCTGAATTGTCTTCAATGGAAATTAAAGTCTTAACTAATATCTCTTCTATAAAAAATAAAACGTCTTCTTTAAAAGATGAAATTTTTTTTGACTAAGAAAGTAAAATTTATTCCGTGTAAAATAATATTTCTATGGTTTAGAATAAAATAAACGAGATGGAGAAGAAGACAGAATAAATAGAACAGAACAGGCCAAAACGGTGAAATAAAGTTCCATGAAATGGAGTCAAAGTTGACATTAGAAGGAAATGTAAATTCTGCCCGTGTTAAAACCCCAATTTTTGGTGGAAAAATGTCATGAACCAATTATCTGAAATAGTTAAAGAATCGCAAACAGAAACGAGACGAGACCCTTTGAAAATATGAAGTAGATATTACCAGGTTGGTACGATTTGCCTATCCATCAGCTCCAGAAAACATGATTAAATGTTTGGCAGTCCAAGCATTTGTTTATGGACTCCATGATCACGAAATATAGAAAACACTCCGCTTAGCCCGCCACAAAACACAGGCTTCTAAAGGATACAGTAAAGTGAGAACTGTAGAAGAAGAAACTGTGGAAGATAAACTCGACCAACTGATATCTTTACTGACAAGAAGATAAAGACGAAGACTACCAGGTGCTGGAATTGCGGTGATCTGGGAGATGTACGCAGTTGGTGCAAACTAGGATCACAACAAACCAAGAAAACAGGCCGCAGAAAAACTAGAGCAGGTCTGATTAGAGGGGGCAGCTTCGACCCGAAACCGTTCCAAGGACCCTCTCATACTGATAGTATCTTTAAAATGTAGCGATGATAATGTAAACGTAGACGGTGAAGTATATAGTAACAAGTGTACATCATTAGTGGATATCAGAGCAACTAGGACCATTATACGATCAACAACCATAAATAACCGCAAGAGATTTGTACAACAAGATTGCGACTACGTACTACCACAGGTGAAAATGCCAACATCCACGAGTAAATCCAAGTTCAATTAGGAATTAGTACAGAAAAGTTCACTAGCACTGTTATTGTCGCTAGTATGGGAAAAAATATTGTATTAGGAATGGATGTATTAACTTCTGATAATTACAACGACCAATTCGAGCAAATGATTGCAATCTCTGAATCAATTAGAAAAAACGGAAAATAAAGGAATTTCTTCGACAATATCGTGAATTTTTTGTGCCTAAGAGAGCAAAAACAGGAAGAAAATCTGTTGTAAAATATAAAACTGTCACTGGTGATGACATGCCAATTCGTCAATCAGCTTGAAGATTTCCAAAGGCCAAAAGAAAGAGGTAGCTGAAAGGATTGTTCAAGAAATGGAGAAAGATAGGATGGTAGAACCTTCTACTAGTCTATGGCTCTCTCTGGTAGTTTTTACACCTATATAAATATGTACATACAAATAAACGAATTAAATAAATTAAGAAGCGGGCGTTCTGTATAAAATATTATTGGCAGGGATAACTTTTATTCAAATAAATATTTAAACTTTTTCACGGATGATTTTTTAAGCGAAACTTAATATTTTTACTACAGCTTTTAATTTCGTTAATTTTTTTCAGTCACAAAGCGATTATGTGAGGCACTATATATAACATATTTTTTGGGGTTGCTAATTTGTAAACTAAATTTAATAAATAACTAATTTAGAACAATGATAAATAATCTTTTTCGTAAGCGTTAATTTTTTCACAAAAGTGGTCCCTATAAATTATTTTCATGTATCTAACTTCACCAATAGATGGCGTAATGCACATGGCCAATGTTAGAAACTGTTTTTTCTTATTTAAATGAAGGCAAATGACGGCAAATTAAGTTATGTCGAAAATATGGAAATATTAATCTGTATAAAAGTTCACTCAATTTTGACTACGCACTCGTTTATCTATTTATCATTAGTCATGTGCATTACGTAATCTAGTGGTACAGTTAGATACTTAAAAATAATTTTCAACGATTCCTCTTGACTACTTAAAAAAAAGATTACAAAATTTTTCTCAAAATTTTATGACGCATAGTTTGTGATACAGGCCTACAGCCGGCGTCCTATCTTATTTAGACACCTAGTATAATAAGCTCAAGCTTCTAGGTTCTAGACCTTCTCGAAAAATTTCTGCTTCATGTTATTTTTGTTTTAGTACTTTCTGGATATTGTAAACTAGTCGGGGTCTGATACATTTCTTTAATATTTGTTGTAGAAAAGTATCAGCATTACACAAAATCATTAATAGTTTTATTTTCTAACTAGCTGTTAGGTTATTCACTTTTTTACTATAAAGAAAATGTTGGACAATTTTAATTGTAATTAATTTATTTGTTTAAGACATTAAGTAAATTCAATACTATTTAGGTAATAGAAACATCAATAATATCCTTTTATTTTATATGAGGGGACCCCAGAAAACATAGCTTTGTTCTGGGGAAGATAAGGTACTATTATTTTTTGACATTGCGATCTTACGGGCTTATAAGTGATTAATGAATGGTACCATTTGACAAACAGGCGAGGAAAACCCGCCCACTATCCATGAAACGAGGATTGCCTGAAAATTGATAAAGTTGATAAATATATTTTTAAGTGCTTGTGGAAACCTTTTGACCATAGTTCGACATCAATCTTTTCGATCACAAACAAATGATACTAGGATCGTATTTATACACATACCGTTATTTGACAATTATTTAAATTTAAGCTGTTAGCAATCATTTTATTGATATTTTTATTATCGGTAGTTTACCTACGGGCAAAGAAGTAAACCTAAACAAAATGATTAAAATTTGATTGACCGAATTAAATGTGCAAAATTATTTAAAACATCAAATCTAACAGAAAGTAAACAAAATACCCACGAAAGTGTGTGAACTTTGAAATCATCTTGTAGCTTTGATATACGGGGATTCAAAGAACTTGACTTGTATCTACCGTTCATCTGAAACGGGTCAAACTTCTCATTAGTATATAAAGTGGAACATTTTCGTACCTCGGTTCATTTCAAAATGAACCGTAGGATTTTATTTTATATTGTGCTTGAATTATTAATTAGTTTAGCGGTAGTATCATCAATAACTGAAGGTCAGTGGTTATTATTTGTTATATAAAGTTGGAAGGTATTTTATTGTAAAAAAAACAGTTTTAATAAAAACATCAAACAAATATTTACTTAATGTTTAAATGAATTTTTAAATATCAAAAAATCGGAGAGGTCAATTTTTGATTTTACTTTTTTTTTTAATTATTTTTACCCCACTATCGATAAATTTTAATACGCCATATTAGTTGATGTAATTTTGGTTTCACTGACACTTAACTTCTAACCAAACTTTTAACAAAAACATCATTGAATTTGACATACAGTGTGACAGTTTAAAAACATGGGCTATATCTCACAAACGAAAGATATCAAAAAATGCTTAAAACCGTTTCTAGGGTAGGAAAGGGGGAACTAAAATGGCATAATGGAGAAGTCACAAATTTGTAATTCAACAAAAACTTTATAAAATTTTCCTTTTAAGGCAAGGTTTCACAATTTTTGATTCACCCTGTACAATTAATATTTATACCATTGGATAGCATTTTATTTATAAAAGTTCATAAACTATAAAATTTAGATAAACAAAATGAACAAAACGCACTCAAAAACAATAAAGAAGTCTACTGTCACTGTAATAATTATCAGTGGAACCAAAATTACTAATTTTTCGAATTTAGCGTATTGAAATGGTACCTATTTATATTTTTATATCAAAAATTATTTGAATAACAGTTTTGTGATGTTATTCTCTATAATTTTTGTCCTATACAGGATTTCTTTAAAATAGACCGTAATGGAGAAATTTGAGAAAGAGGACAAAATGTGAATTTTTCAATAGTATTTTCGTTGACAATAAAGATATGAATAAATGTTTTGAATAATTGTTATCTCTATTAAATGTCTACGAGGAGGCTACGGAGGCTAATTTTGAATATATACTTAATACAAATATATATTTCTATCAGAATACAAAAAGCAGATTTATTACATTGCATTCTTAGAGAAATATATATTTGTATTAAGTATATATTCAAAAGTAGCCTCTTAATAATTATTGTAGATAAATATTTTTTGTAAAGCAATGTAAGATTAATTTAAATAACTTTAATCTGTATACAAAAACACATACATATATGCTACATTTTTATAAAGAAAAAATATACAATGTATTCCATTTAAAATCATACCTGAAAGTATGTTCTTTCCGGTTAAACCGGAAGTGATTAGAAAAAGACAGACAGAAAAAATTAGAGGACTGGTGAAAACTTATTTTATTATCAGGACTAGTTTAAAAGTAAGCAATTTACGTGTTTCTTAGTTAGAAATAGAAATATTACGAGGGTTTTTCGTGAAACAGGCGGGAATTGAAATGGAAAATATATGAGTGCTGTAATATTTAATCATCTTAACTGAAATAAAACTAAAAAGAGAATTATTTAACAAAGAAATAAAAAATAATAGTTAAAATAAATAAAATAATAAAATGTAATTTGTTATTTTAACTTAATATTTAGCCCTATAATCAATCGATAACTACCGAAGTGTTTCAATGTGTGGTTAAAAAAAGAAATAAGAATAGGAATAGGAATTAAACTGTAAACCAAAAACTAGAATGAAGATATATAATGCTTGGCTTTCTATATTATACTCTTTTTTCAGAATCGATGGGCTTCATCTTCTTATAGAACTTGATTTTTACTAAAACATTTCATGTTGATATCACTTTTCGTTTTTGATTTATGATTTTTTTAACCAATTTCAAAAAAAGGAGGAGGTTCTCAATTCGTAGGAATTTTTTTTTAACCGACTTCAAAAAAAAGGAAGAGGTTGTCAATTCGTAGGAATTTTTTTTTTACCGACTCTAAAAAAAGGAGGAGGTTCTCAATTCGTCGGAATATTTTTTTAACTGACTTCAAAAAAAGAAGGAGGTTCTCAATTCGTCGGAATATATATTTTTTTAATGTATGTTTTGTTAATAATTCTTTTTTTTTAGAAAGGGGGTACTTTTCAGGGGTAGTCCCATATAAATTTAATCAAGATCCAAAAATGGGGTCCATGAGAAAATCCTCAAACTCTTCATTTTTTATGTATGTTCGGCGATAGTTCTTTAACACCTTTTCAGAATTCAATGATTCTTTTTTTGTTAGAAAGGGTGTACTTCAGGGGTGGTTCCATACAAATTTGGTCAAGATCTGGTGATGGCATCTGCACGATTTTGAAGTTGATTTCTCAAAATTACTTTTATAACTTGTTTATTTCAACTCCCCTTAACCCCCCATTTTTATTCATATCTTTTTCAAAATGAATACGTTTCGTTCCCTTATTTTTTTTAAAATTTCCTAAAATTAAGTTTATATCATTTTTGTTTTTTGACTTATAATACTTTTCACAGACTCTGTGTACCTATAATTAGAATATCGTTATTATAATGAAACATAGAAAAATAAACGGAGAAGTTAACTACCGTAGCACGTCATGATTTTCATGTAACACAAAGAAAACGTTATGAAGAAATTGCATTTAAAGCTTTAAGAATTTCGGAAGTATAGTTACAAAACTAAAATTAAAAAAGTATTTTACCTATAACTTCCGTCGATATAGAAATTGTAATAACAGGGAACTCCTAAGCACTTAAATTTTATTAATTTAAAATTAAAACCACCAAACCAAAAACTTTTTTTCACATTTCTCTCTTCATCGATCTTTCTCTTGATCCCACCCGAATTCTCACTTCGCGTTCAGTCGGTATTCTTCGTCACGTTCGCCGTTAATGAATGGCTGCTTTTAAAATGGTCCAGTTACACAAACCAAAAGGACGATGTTTATTATTTCCTACAAGGGGGACATTTTTTTGATTAAATACGATTCCTTTCAACGCCGTTTTGAATTTTTAAAAACTTATTTAGGATCTGCTATCTTTAACTTCTAAAATTCTGAGATACCAATTTTAGTCGAAATCTGTGACTTTTAAAAATAAATTTTATTTTTAAAACTGCTCATCCTAAATATAACTGATCGGAAGTATAACTGATTTTGAGCCAGAAAGAAACCTTACCTGCATACATTTGAAGTTTTTTAAAAAGCCGTTTTTGAGACAGACGATAAACAGACAGACGGAATGGGGAAACATGTTTTTCGTCATCTAGGGACCTTGAAACGTGAAAATCTGAAATAATCTCGCAAGGTGACTTTTTCACGATTACAATACTTCCCTTTTATTGAGGGAAGTAAAAACGGTATTTGAAACTTCACAACAAATTTACGTAAATGCGAAAAATTATAGATCAAAAATATTATTTTTCCACTCCATTCCCGCCTAACAACAATAGTAGCATCATATTTTATTCCAGACCGTATAAAAATGTTCCTGTAATTTTCAAGTTTAAACAAGTTCATTTAAATTATTATTTGAAATATTAACATTAGAACCTTCATCAGTTACCAGCTGATGTAGACGAGTTAATACAGTAACACATCTAAGATTAAGATATACTTTATCTAATATTTTATATAAATAATCCTGGTGGCACAAAATTGATCGAAAATATTTATACGAATACATTTGATCGAAAACATTTGATTGAATGCATTTGATCGAAAAACAATTTATCGAATAACAATTAATCGAAAAGAAAAATGATCGAAAAGAAAAATGATCGAAAACAAAAATAATCGAAAAGAAAATTGATCGAAAATGGATTTAATAGAAAAAGAAATTGATCGAAAAACCAAATATAGATAAAATTTAAAAAAAAAACCTAACTAACTTACCTAACTTCTGCGGCCTAGAGTCATCGCTAGTTGTTCCGCAAAAAAAAATATACACAAATAAAAAAAATAAAAAAAAAATAAAAAAAAAACTTAACTAATCAGCCTAACCTGTGCGTGAGTAATCGAATAAATTTAAATGGCTCCAGGTTAGGTAAATTAGTTTAGTTTTTTAAGTTTTTCTAATTTTTATATATGTTTTTGGCGACGCTGCAGGTTAGGTAGATTAGTTAAGTTTTAATTTTTTTTTCATTTATGTATATTTTTTTGCGAGAAAACATGTGACGCCTTCAGGCCGCACATGTTAGGTAAATTAGTTTAGTTTTCTTCTTACAGAAATTCATAGTTTGAGCAAATTAATCACAATGCCTTTGTAATCTCAATGACGATAAATAATCGTTTAGCTCTAAAAATATTAATTTGTAAATTATTAGTATTGCAAGAATAAAATTTGTTAAATGAGACAAATATGGTTTTAGATTATCAACAAATTTGCTATTAGTACCTAATTTGACGATAGCCGTTGAGTTTAGTTTCCCCGGTAATAGGGATTAGCTGGTGTTTTTTAATTTTTTATATTTTACTATTTTTATGTTGATTTTCGATATACAGTGTGTCCCGAAATTCGACGGTAATATTTTAACAACGTAATCTACATCCTAAAATAGGAGTAAAAGTTCATATAAACATAGGTCCGAAAACGTGTCTTTTCTGAGATACAGGGTATTAAAAGTGAAGTCCTGAGACACACTATTGTAAATATTTTCTAAACGTTTAAAGATAACTAAGTGAAATTTGGTACAAATGCTTACATTTTTAAGCTCTATTTAATGTACTAAACCCTAGTTTTTGATAATCTTCATAGGTGTGTAAGTTAGGTGCATCTTAGGGTAAAATTGCTCTAAGTTTTTTTTTTAACAGTTTTTAACATTTTTAACTATAAAATTTGAAAAACCAATGTTTTCTTTATAATAAAGCTACTTTTGTTGCATCTCGCTAGGACGCACCATTTTCAAGAGAAAAGGGTTTAAAAATATCATGATAAGTTGATGTTATCTTATTCGAAAGTGTAAACAATAATTAGTAGGCCTGTGGAATCAGAAATTTTATTTTTTTTTAACTTTGGAAAACCGGTGACTAAAGAAATTTTAGAAAATAATTACAGAAATGTGCCATCAGGACTTCACTTGTAACACCCTGTATCTCGAAAACGAAACGTTTTCACACCTATGTTTATATGAACTTTTACTCCTATTTTAGAATGTAGATTACG